GATCATAATTTTGTGGCTGTGATATTTCCACGGCAACACTGGTGACAGTGATGTCACAAATTCAGTCCTGACATAGCTTCAGGATCAAGTACAAGGAGCAGATGGGATGCGAGAGAGAAAGCCCTATTTAAACACAAATCTCTTTCATAAGAAAGAAAGAGGCATGAGCAAAGAACCAGGTGAATGGATCATGTTTTCAAGTATGATATATTCAAAAGATTATCCTAGCATGAAAATCTATTTAAAGGCAAGACCTACAATACAGGGTAACTGTCAAATTTGTTAGGCCTTATAATAAACCAACCTTGAAAGCTCCCTGTTTTGCATGACAAGCCCTGTGCTCCATTTCTAAAGTGGCAGTGAAGACAATACACTTTTGTCCCTTGTGAATTTCCTTCAGATAACTTTAACATTCAGATATATTAATTTGATACATCACTGTGCTCATAATACCATATGTAAATATGATGTCAAGCCCTCATTGGAGTGAGTTTGTTATCTGAATTAGATATGATATGAAAGACATTAAAACAAATCCCAGATGGGTCACCCAGTACAACAGGATGGTAACTGGAATATTCAGCCAGCACTGTTAGGTTGGCAAAAGGGGACTGTACTTTGGTCCTGATCTGGGGATGCATGTAAGAATTAACACAAGCTCCAGACCAGCTAAAGACCCCTAAACCCCTCACCAGTTACACACTGAAAACTCCAAAAAATTACTGGTATCAAACCTCCTTCCTATCCTTGGCTACTCCATGAACCAAGAGCAACTGAGCCCACAGAGCGTAGAAGCCATTGTGACAAAAAGGGGAATAGCAGAGAATGCAACCACAAGAGTCACAAACACAGTCCCCACATTAACTCGTGGCACAGCGCAAGGACACACTGAGATTTCTTAAAGATGCTTCTCCAAAACTACCAAGCAAGAGAGACAAAAGGGAAGTGCCTATGACCAAAATTCAGGTGTAGGCAATCATTCACAGAGCTGCACACAATGAGAAGTAGTTTCTTATGGCAGCAGCAGCAGAAAGATGCACAAGAAAAATGAGAAATCAAACAGAAGATAAAAAGAATTAAAAGGATATAGATTAATGTTCTGATCACAGAAGGAAAAAGCCCACACTTTTCAAGATTTCAAGATGAAGACCTGGAAGGATTACCAACAGTCTAGCTCTCAAGGGGGAAAGGAAGAAAGGGAATAAAATCTGCAGCGTGAAGCTGGGCCTAAGCCACAACATGACCAGGCCCCCAGGAAGGGATTTTGGGTGGGTGCAGAGACTAAAAGTACAATGCAAGGAGGAGCAAATCCAAAGTGTCAAGTAGCAAACCAGCGTTCCCAGACATCATCTATGAAATCACTAAGGCAAAAACTGCAAAAGGAAAAGTAGGCAGAGTGCCATGTGACCCAAGCCACAACATTGATCATAGTTAGGAAAGTCCACCTGATTTGCCAAACTATGAAAATACCAACAGCAAATCAAAAAAGCAGGTGATAAACTGGAGGATGCTGGCTGGTAACAAAAATAATTAAAAGACTTCAAGACCTATGTTTGTTTAGCTTCAACAAAAATGTGGGTTTTTTTCCAAACACACTAGGCACATTCCTATGACTCACACTAACAGAAACACTGTCTGAAATATTTAAAAAAAAAAGGAATAGTTTGGGGCTATAAACTTCTACAGGCCTCTTACTCGTTAAAGTAGTAAACTCTGGAAACAGTATCCATTAGCACAGTAGGATAAGAAATATAGTCTATTTTAAGATGTAGTTTATTGTTTTTATAGTTGTGATTAAGACACAGCTGTCACAGACTAACATGACTACAATACAACCCCGACAAGACTCCTCCTCTCCCTTTGCTTTTGTAAGGCCAACAACCTCGGATGAGAACATGAACAGAGTTCCCCCAGTGGACTTTCAAGAGGTCACTTTCATTTCAGTACTGGAAAGCCCATCTTCTTTTTACCCAAGAGGGAAAAAAAAGCCTCTCTCAGACAACTCTTGCACTACTACATCTCTTTTAGCTCGTGTTTATAGAGATGTGAAAGTGACGGCTGATACAAGCTCAAGGCAGCTCTCATTGCTGTTTGTCTGGTGCAGCAAACCAAGGCAGCTGCCAAACATGAGCTACAAAGAAAGGCTCTTCCTATTGTTTTTCAGAAAATAACTTACTTTCTCTCTATCACACTGATCAAAATTAACATTCCCCTGATGGACAGAAGTCAACTGTTCTTCTAAAATGAAATCTTACACAAAATCAACATTTTAAGAGTAGAAAATACATTTCAAGTCAAGTTTTGCAAATGTATCATGGAGAACGAAAATATTTTTACAACAGCTAAAATGAAAACATAACAAAACCCAACAACAACTACAAAGTAATAGATTTTTAAAAGCAATAGGCACATTCTAACACAATCTCAATCCAAAAGCAATTCAAAGTATGAAATAACAGTAGATTGGGATACCAAGTATTTTTTTCCAGCTCTCATTTCTCTATATAAATATAATAGGTACAGTGTATTACCTTCATTTTCTGAAGCTTGGCATTTTACTTTCAGTACCAAATCAAAGGTACGTTCCGGATTTTCCCTAGAAGAAACAATCACAACCAATTATCATATACATATTTCTTATTTCTACTGGTATATCCTTTCTATTATTTTTTTAGAATAACAAATAGAATTAAAGTATCATTAAAACAAAATTATTACTCAGATTAGTTCTAAGGAAGAACCAAAAAGTCACATTTCCCTATACAGCCTTGAGAAAGGAATAAGTAAGATAAACAAGCTAAACTGTGTAATTTATTTACATTATATTGTGACTGCCTTATATATCAAATAACTTTTAAGTCACTCTACCCTACCTCATCTGAGAGCTGAGAAAAAAGAGCTACTAAGCTCCTTATCAATCAATCAATCTGCAACATTAATGGAGTCGCAGGCAGCCTTTTCTAGAGCTATGCCTTTTTTCTACTAAGTAAGAATAGCCCATCATTAGACTCCCATTTTAATTCCCTGTGTTTAGCGCTGTCCTTTAAATGCACCTGATTACCACCTCAAGGCCGAGAATCGTTTGGCTTCCTCTTCCACCAGCTATTGATCGCCAGCTGGGCCTCTAAAGGCTGAAGCTCAGGCGTGATTCACTGCCAGAGCCAACACCAGTGCACCGAGCGGCGATGGCCACGGGCCCGAGGCAGCCGGGAACGCGGAGCCTCCCTATCTGCAGCAGCCATCGAGGGCAGCTGCGTGCGACGGCCGGCGCCTCTTCCACCTGATGATAATAACAAACTGCATGTGCCAACAGCAATTAACACTCAGCCGAATCCCAAACTACATATTCATTGAAACGGGCCTAAATGCCATTGCCATGCCATCCACCCCTCTCTGCCTACCAAGCATACTGCTATTTATATTAAAAACAAGCGGTATAACCGCACCCATATCAATTATCTATTTAACCACATAAAAGGCTCACACTGGAACTCCTGTCTTGTGTAACACTCCCACTGAAATCAGCTGGAGACTTGGGCATAAGAAAAAAAAAAAAAACCAAGAGTGGTTCCAGGTTTCTAGAATGCTTCACATAAAGCATATAGCAAATTAAAACATTGTTGTTTCTTTAAATAAAGTATTGAATGAAATCCAAAGGCTGAGCCAGCTGTCACAAATTAATTGATTCAGTGCATGCTTTCACTGACCTCAGCACCATCATCAGCTGAGATACACAATTATAGTCTAATTCAGATTATGAAGACATAACCTGCCCACATCACACTCTCTCCTTGCATTTTAAAGCATTTTGTTGGGGAAATCATTTATCTACTGATCCTGCGTGTAGGAGATGAAATTCTGGTCTGAGTTACAACAGCATAAATCCAGGACATTGGAGATTTACTCTGGTGTTAAACTGTCCATTGTTCCTCTGGCTGCTGAGCAGGTTCAGAATGAAACTGATAGGGCTGTGCTTGGTTGAGTCACCTAGAAAACCGAACCACAAAAATCCTTCACTTAAAAGAAATGACATCTCCCCACGACATTGCTCTAGCTTAGGCCTTTGGTTTATCCTCTCAGGTTGCGGTTGCTTAATGTCAAGCAGTTTGAGTTACAATCACCAAATGAGTCCTTCTAGCTCAACTCCTGGATGAGTTACACTCAAAAAAGGTCTCTGAAGTAATACTGCCTTCTGTCTTTCACTGTAGTACTCTAAAACTGCTTTTGCAGGAAAATGCTTCTAAGTTTACTCTTCACATCCCACTACGCTCAGAAGTGTCAAAAATGTGTCAAACTAATCTGAGAATTGTGAGCCTGTCTCTCGTCTCTGGTTTCCCTGCCAGCTCCGCGGTGCCAGCCTGCTCAGTGCATATAGACACGGAGCTGTTTGTCAATTGCCGAAACCCGTGTGTAACATCTCGTCACTTTCAATGTCACCAGAGCAGGCGGCGGCCGGAGGGCAGCCTGGACGGCAGTGCTCCCAAACACCCCAAGATCCTCTTCTGCACCTGCCACGCCGTAATGACAGAAGGGTGGTCTGCGACCACCATGGCCATAAGCTCCAACACAAGGAGTTTCACCTGCACGTGAGGCAGAACTTTACACTGAGGGCAGAATAGCAGCAAACAGGCTGCCCAAGGACGGTCATTGAGTCTTCCCCTGGAGACGCTCCAAACCCACCTGGAAGCGTTCCTGTGTCACCTGCTCTACATGACCCTGCCTTGGCAAGGTGACAGGACGGGATCATCTGCAGAGCTCCCTCCCAACCCTGACAATCTGTGATCTCCTACAGGGATGCCTGTAACAGCCTCGGCCCACTGCGGGCAGCTCCGCTGGGCCCGGCGGCCTCGGCACCGCGCTGCCAGCCCCGCACAGGCCCCGTTCACCGGGCACAGCCCGAGCGAGCTGCAGCCGCCCGGCTCGGCCCGGCCCGGCCCGGCCCGGCGCGTCTCACAGCCCCGCCGCGGCCCCGCTCACACAGCACTCACTTGAACCTGCTGTCCATGGTCACATCGCGGGCCCCGGCGGCGGCCCCGGCGCCCCCAGGGACAAGCGCCCCGCCCGGCAGGGACGAAGGGGCAGCGCCGGCCGCGGAGCGCTGGGCGGCGGGGG